AGCAATAACTCATGATCAAAAGTAAAAACAAATGATTATTATATAATGACTAATTAAAGAGTTCTTTTATTTTTTTTTTCTCACTATCATATTTTATATAAATTTTTATGTATGCAGAAAAAAAAATATATATATTTGTTTATTTAATTTAGATATATCATGGCAGGTCTTTCTACAGGTTGTTTGATTGTATTTAATGTTAATTTTAATGTTCTTAATCAACCTCGACGTGATTCTGGAACGCCTACTGCAAATGTTTAATAAAAAATGTTTTCTGTTTGTTTTTGTTTTTCGTAGTGTAATTGTTTTTTTTGACTATTAATATTTTAACACATTTTTTTTTCCTCTGCGCTTTCATTTGAGGCTTTTTTTTTTCTTATAGACATTCCAAATTCTTTGCGTTTATATGGTTCTTTATAAAAGAGAGGATCCATGGTTTCATTTTTCTTTTGAATAGGTGAGAACGGCTGCTACATCAAGTAGTATTTTTTTGTTTTTGTTTTTGTGTTTGATTTATGTTGGGTGGGAAATAAGAAAGCCCCAGTGATATTCATATTGTTGTTGGTGTTTATCGTATTTATCTAGGTTAATTTGTAACGTGCATGCTTAAAAAAAAGATAAAAATCTTTAACAATATCACGATCTTAAATATTTCATTTGTCTGTGCATTTTTCTTTTTACTTATGCTTATAAACGGAGTTCACCGCATTCCTTTTTTTGTTCTTATGTTTCTTAAGCTTCAAAAAAAAAAAATAATAAAGCAATTCAATAACTATTCATATACTTCGCACATAAAATAAAGAATTATTTGCAATAATCAAATAGTTTATCTGTATAATTGGTTTTAGATTATTCTGATAAATTGACAAGTTAAAGAATGACAGCAGCAACTGGTAAATGAATTTATAAATAGTAAATTATTGAAAAACTTTGTATCTACAAAGAAGTAATGAACCAATCCTTTTGTTGCAGCAGACCTTCCCCTAACCGAGAACTCGACTTTTGGTTTAAGAGTTATGAGATACGTTATATTAGCAAGTTTTTTGTATAGAACAGAAGGTGAGATTGTTCCTTACAAAATTATATCAGAATAAAAAGTTTGAGAACCAATTTGCAGATCTCGACAAGACCATTTCATAACTCTTAAATAATGTTGTTAAATTACTTTTCAATAACTTCAATGATAAATTCAAAGAAGAATCTATAAAATATATGCTTCTATAAAGGTGATCAAAAGAAACAATACGTGCTTGTACCTGGTGGTGCTGGTTTTATTGGTAGTCATTGTGTTATTGAATTGATTACAGCTGGTTATATACCAATTGTAGTAGATAATGAACATAATTCATCAGCAGGTGAAATTAAAAAAATATTCTAAAAAAGAAAATTTGATTCTATTTAGAAAAAAAATTCTTTTTTTTAGAATGTTTAAAACGTGTTGAACAAATTACTGGATGTCAAATAATTAATTATAAAATTGATTGTCTTGATATTGAAAATTTACGAAATATTTTTAAAAAATATTTAATTTATGCAATAATTAATTGTGCTGCACTTAAATCAGTTGGTGAATCAGTACAAAAACCAATTTTATATTATAAAAATAATATTGGTTGTTTACTTAATTTACTTACAGTAATTGTTTTTCTAATTATTAAATAAAAAATATATTTATTTGAATATTATTTAGTGTATGGAAGAATTTAATGTTAAAAATTTTATTTTTTCATCATCAGCTACTGTCTATGGTATACCTAAATATTTACCAATTGATGAAAAACATCCATGTATTGGTGATACTATTACTAATCCATATGGTAAAAGTAAATATATATGTGAACATATTCTTAAAGATACAATAGTTGCTCATCCTGTTCGTATTTTAAAATTAAAATAATCTTTTTTTATTCTTGTTAATTTATTTAGGAATGGAATATCATTATTTTACGTTATTTTAATCCTGTTGGTGCTCATAAAACAGGTTTAATTGGTGAAGATCCTATTGGTAAACCAAATAATCTTATGCCATATATTGCACAAGTAGCTGTTGGTCGTTTACCATATGTTAATATTTTTGGTACTGATTATGATACTCCAGATGGTACAGGTAAATATAAGCAAATAAATATAATTTATCTTCTTATAATTAAAAAACTATTGAATTTGTATAGGTGTTCGAGATTATATACATGTTGTTGATGTAGCTATAGGTCATATTGCAGCAATGAAACAATTTGAAATGAATTGTGGTTTAAAAGTTAGTAATTGATAATGATTTAAATTCTTTTTTTTTTATTCTTTCTTATTTAGATTTATAATCTTGGTACTGGTAAAGGTTATTCTGTATTAGAAATGATTAAAGCATTAGAAAAAGTATCAGGCAAAATAATATCTTATAAAGAATGTTCTCGACGTCCAGGGGATCTTGCAACTGTTTATGCTGATTCAACATTAGCAGCTCAAGAACTTGGATGGACAGCTCAACGAAATTTAGATGAAATGTGTAAATAAGTTTTTATTTTTAAGTACAGATTTAAAATTATATTTTTCTTTTATAGGCGAAGATTTATGGCGTTGGCAATCGAATAATCCAAATGGATTTCAATAGAATCTCATACATAATATTAATTTAATACATCTGTAGAAGTCAAATTTAAAAAACAAAAAAAAGAGAATCTCTTTCTATCTATAAACGCATTTAGTCAATATTTACATCTACTTATTTATGATGTTTTAGATGAGTAATATTTACATTCAAGAGCCAGCTACTCGTGGCAAAGTTGTTTTAGATACAACTGTTGGTGATATTGAAATTGTACGGAATTTTGTGTTTTTATTTTAAATGACACTACAAAAGTTTTTTTTCATCAAGTCTTAGTTCTAGATGTTCGATCAACATATAATTTCATATGATTTTGTACACCGAATTCCTTCAGTCTTCGTATTCTTTATTTTTAATAACTAGAACATTGAACTTATTACAAAATATCCAATCTCAATCCTAACCTGTTCACTTATGTAACTAATCGGAATAAGATATTTTAGAAAGTTTAGAAGTTCAACAATTGATCTCAATGCATAATATTTAGGAAAGTCGGACGAATAAGAAAAAAACACTTTTGTAGTGCCCTATATAATAAATGTGAAATAGTAATATGGTTTTTATTTTGTTTTTGTTTTTAGGAACTTTTCTCTAAAGAATGTCCATTAGCATGTCGAAATTTTGTTCAATTATGTATGGATGGTTATTATGATGGTACAGTTTTTCATCGAGTTGTACCAAATTTT